GGTGTGTGTGTGTCTGTGTGTGTGTGTGTGTGTGTGTGTGTGCTTGCTGTTTCTCTGGAGAACACTGACTGAGGCCCCATAGCTGGGATCCCTGGCTTCCGGCCTGCTCTCTCCTTCTGGTGACAGAGGATGATGAGTCCTAGCACAGTGACAGGGTGGGTGGCCCTCCTCAGCCCTGTCCCCATCCCTTAAAAACAAAACCAGAGCCCCCCCCAGTGCCTGACCGGAAGTGGAACCAGTGGTTGGAGGCTCTTCCTGTGCGTTTGGTGTGGAAGAAGTGAGTGCTGCTGGCCTGTGGGGGCAGAGGGCTCCCAATGGTCCTCCTGAGGCCCTGCCCCCCCTTGCCCCCACTGTGCCCCCACGGAGCAGCTACAGAGCCTGTGATGTGACAGCCCACGTGCTGCCTCCTCCCCGCCTGCACAGAGACCTGCCACGTCCATCGCCAGAGGCCTGCACAGAGACCTGCCACATCCATCGCCAGAGCCCTGGCCACAATGCTTGGTCACCTGCAAGTGGCTAAGCACAGGGGTGGGGTGCAGCCACCTCTGGGGCCTGGGTCTGGCCACACACTGTGCTGACAACATGCCAGGCCCTGGCAGGGCCCTCCACCCAAAACAGGTCACTTCCACCAAACTGATCTCCCCCTCATCTTGTGCCCAAGCCCTCATGCTGGATGGAACCTGCTGAACAGTGACCGCACTGGCCACCCTTCAGTTCCCAATTCCTCTTCCACCCCTTATGGACAGCTCACTCCCTGAGGCACGCCCCCCACTGCTTCCTCCCCCAGCAGCACCTAGCCCTGGTGCTCCACCCAAGAGACTCCTCACTCTCTTGCCAACACCCCTCCCCGGTTTGGTCAAATTCCCTTCATCTTCTCAGAGAGCCAGTCACTCCCACCCCAACCAGGGAAGGGCTGCACCTGAGCTGGACTCCCACTGTCCTGCCACTGCCCAGGTCCTGCTTTGAGGCTGTGTTCTGGCCTGGTCTATGGGGGTCCAGGTCCCCTGAGCTAAAGAGGGGGTGGGTTTCCAGGCATGGTGGAGCTTCTGGTCTTGGAGCCCCTCCCCTCCAAAGACCTGGTCTTCATCTTCCTGGACTGTCCACCTCGACCCCACGCTCTCCTACTGTACTGTCCACTGATTGACTCCAGCTTTGTGTCTGCCCTCCCAGGGGACACAGTGCCCACCAGAGAGCAGGGTTAGTCCCTCCTAGAGGGACACACAGTTTACTAGAGCAGGGTCCATCCCTCCCGGGCCACCAAAAAGCAGGGCCAGCTTTTCCCTGGCCACCAGCATGTGCCCCTGCTGTTATGTGGCTGAGATAGTGGGCTCTGACCTGCTGGGCACACAGGAGGCTTTCTGGCATGGGGAATGAGTCCCTTCAGCTCCTCTCTGGGGAGGGGGCCCCTCACTGCCCTGATGGAGCTCCCCGCTGCCAATGGGTGTGCTTGGAGGAGGGACAGACAGATCAGCATTTCCACAGGGAACCTGGCTTGTCCCCGCCTCTCTCTAAACTTGGCAAGATGCAGTAAATAACCCCACATCATCCTCTGAGGCCCACCCAGTACTCTGCTCGCCATCCCTCTGGCTCAGGGCTCCACCTGCTGGAGTCAGAGCTGGTGGGCAGGCCGGGATTCCCCACCCCCTGGCCTGGGGCTGCCCTGTGGCAGGGGCTGCTCTGGCTCTCCGGAGGATTGCTCAGATGAGAGGATTTGTGTCAAGCTCGTTTCCCCAGGCAGTGAGACGGGAGGGAGGGGGCTGGGGGGGCAGGGAGGGAGGAAAAGGAAGTGGTCAGTCTCCCCACCCCCACCCCGCCCTCGGCTAAGTGTAAGAAGTGCCTGAGTCAGAGGGGGCGGGGTTACCTCTTTCCTTTCCTTCAGGTTAGTCAGCATGACGATGGTGGAAGATTTCTGTTCCCAGATCATTCGCCAAAAGTCGTTCACCGTTTCCTGTTTGGGTCCTGCAAGGAGGAGAGTCCTGAAGTCAGAATCCACCAGAGGGGTCTGCCTGCTGCTCCCTGCCCCGGGGCACCCAGGAGACAGGGCCAGGTGTGGGCCAAGGCTGCTGGGACCCACCGGGCGGCCTCTTGCCCCACTGCCCTGAGCCAGAGGGCATCCAGGTGGGCATTTCCACAGCCACGTGACAAGTGTCAGAACGTGTGTGTGCATGTTGGTGTGTGCACATGTGGGAGAGAATGTGGGTGTATGTGCACATGGGTGAGAGAAAATGGGCATGTGTGTGCATGCATGTGCAGCAGACAAATGACCGTGCATGTGTGTGTGAGGCAGAGAATGAGCATGTGTATGCATCTGCACATGTGTGAAATAGACAAGGGCATATGTGTGCGCATGTGAGACAGAATAGGTGTGTGTGTGTGTGTGTGTTTACATGCATGTGAGAGAGAGGGAGAATCTGAGCTTCAGGTAGTCCCAGCTTCAGGATGTTATTCTTGACATCCATCCCAGAGTAAAATCATCCATCTGCCTTGCTCCCTGTGCACACAGCGCTCCTGGACAGCACTCATGGGACACTGGGTGTCGTGTGCCTGTCTACACACAAAAGCCCACACACATGCACATGCACACACAGCCTTTAAATCCATTCCAACTCACAGCAACCTCTCCAGGCTTTCCAACGCGGTCAGTCTTTACAGGAGCAGAGAGCCTCATCTTTCTCCCTGGGAGCAACTGCTGGGTTTGAACTACCCACTTTTTGGATAGCAGCCCAAGGCCTAGCCCACAGCACCACTGGTATGAATGCACATTGTTGGGGAAAGGCGGGGGGACGGGGGACTGGGGGGGCCTGAAACCTGAATTTTTAACCAGCTGCCGCTCCCGTTCCTGGGACCCGAGCTGAGCAGCAGGCTCGGTGAGAGGCCTGCATCTGCACGTAGACAGAAACTGCTGCCCGCTGTCACCCAGCAGAGCGAGCACCGGGGCAATGAATGAAGAGCTCATGGGGTGCTGGCAAGCACTTTGGAAGGTGAATCAGGAGGGACCCACACAGAAGAAGCTGCCCCAGCCCCTGGGTGCCACAGAGGCAGCCGGAGCCGCCAGGCCGTGCTGGCAGAGGTCGGCTGGAGCTGGGTTGGTGGCGAGCTTACCCTGGGTGGCTATGAACTTGTTCTTCTCGTTGTAACCCTGGGGACAGAGAAACCAAAGTCACCACAACACAGCAGTGGTGGAAGAGTTATCCGCAGTCCTCATCACGGTGAAGCATTTGGAAAACCCAGGGAAGGGAAATTAAAAAGAGAGAGAAAGAGAAAGAAAAGGATTCACCGGTCACGTTAGAAACAATGAGGTTATTTAAGTCCTCGCTGTCTCTAAACGTCCTTGTCCCTTGAATTCCTTCCGGGACACACACAGACAGTTTCACAGCAACGAGCAGTAGCTCCTTGATAGCCATTGTTGAAAGCCCAGTGGACGGAGCTCCCGGCTCTCCGCTCCTGCGGTGGGCAGGTTCCCCTGGCCTGTGTTGTCAGCAACACAAGAATGCTGTGATGAGCATCCCCGAGGGCGTTTTCTGAGAACACGTCCCTCGACGCACGGCAGGTGGAGGGGCACGAGTGCCCCTCCTGGTCTGGGGGACCCATGACCACACTGCCCAGAGAGACGGTGACAATGGCAGGGAAAGCCACCCTGCATGGTTTACAGTCTGCACCCAAAGGTCCAGGGGCGTGTCCTTGGCTGGACAGAAGGACGGGAAGCGGGGGACTTACGTCTATGTAGGAGGCATTGATGTAGTCCGAGCAGGGAATCCCATCCACTTGGCTCAAAACCACCCTGGAACAGTCATCTAGGGAGGAGAGAGCCATGGCGTTAGGCGGAGTGAATTACCCCTGCCTTGAAGTCCGTCTAAAGTACCGACCACGCGGATGAGCCTTCTTTCTGTGAGGGGCCGCGGGGCCACGGACATCCCAGTGAAACATCCCCATCTAGACTATCGTGGTCCCTCTCTATGGACTGCTGCTGTCTCTCAGCTTCAGGGCAGGGCGCATCCCCAAACAGGTGCCTTACGCAACCCTGATACCAGAAGGCCGAGATGGGACCCCGAGACCACTGCTGATGCTCTGAAAGGGACCACAGTCCGCAGGAGGAGGCCCTGGATAGAGAAGGGGAAATGGATTAAGCCTCGGATCAGGCTACTTGTCGGGTAGGGACTGGAGGAACCGGGAGAGTATGGCCTTTCGACCCCTTCAAGCCTGGAACGGAACTCACCCTATGGCTGAACATTCAGCCCAACCACAGACAGTGCCCTGCAGGGAACAGCAAACCCCATGAAGATCTTACATGAACCGGGCATAGGGGACAGGGACAGCATCTGCCCTGGGATGAAGCCCAGAGGGCAGGGGGGCGGGTGGGAGGGATGGAACGAGGGAAGAAGGGAAACAGAATCCACAGGGAAGGCGTGGGCAGAGGGCTGGGACACGGTGGGGGCTGCAGACTGTGTCCCTAATGTAACATGCTTGAATTGCTGAATGGAAAACCAGTCTGTGCGTTTGTAAGCGTGAGCATGAATGTGTGAGTGTGGTGTGCGTGTGTGTATGTGAGTATGCATGGGTGAGTATGTGTGTACGTGTTTGTGTGGACGTCACGTGTAACCCCGTCAGCCTTGAGCAGGATGCGGTTTTGCTAGGCCAGCTCTGTCTTATCCAGCAGGACCAACCGGCAGAGCTCCCAGGGACAGCTCCTGCCAGAAGGCCCTCAGGGGCCAGATCACAGCCTCAGGTCCCCACAGCCAGGCCACCCTGCTCAGGGCTGGGACAGTCAGAGTGTTAACAAAGCTGACTGAGCTGAGCAGCGGGTGTGGGTGGGGGTGGGGTTGGAAACAGTTAGGGCCCAAAGCCAGCAATAGTAACAGAGGGAGAAAAATAGCCTCTGGTTAGATTTAGACTCTGCCGTCCCTCCGCACTTCCTGCCTCTTTCTGCTTAAAAGTCACACTTCACTTGCAAAACATATTTCTTAAAATGACGGCCCTGGCACTTCTCCAGAAAGGAAGATTCCTCCTCGCCCTGGCCCGGGGGTCTGGGACCCTGGCTGGGGCTCCAGGGTCACAGACACAGTTGCTCTCTCGGACAGCTTGTGGCCTGAGGGATTCATGGGACTGTGAGGAGTTGGGTTCTCTCTTCCCGGGTTCTCCATCCCCGGGGTGGCACAGCAGCTCAGATGCGGTGGGAAGAGGGTAGTCAGATCTGAGTCCCACCTGTATAAAGTCTTCAGGTTCTGGCCCCACCCTCCGCAGGCCCCAGCTGGCACCCCGGACCTCTATGGCCATTGCTCAATTGAATTCCAGACACCCCTGGCTTGGCCTTGCTCCTTTCTGACGGCAGGGACTGCCCAGCTAATCCCCTCCCGTGTGTGAGCCCACCTCTTCGGCCTGCGTCTCCCACGGTTGGAGCCCAGTCTCCGGCAGGGCCCTAGGCCCTCAGGAACTGGAACTGCCGGATGGGCAGGCAGGGTTTGTGCGGGACGGGCAGTGGAAGGCCTGTTCACAATCACAGTACATTCTGTACATGGAAAACAGGCTCTGCTACCTTTCTGGCCTGAGCTACAGGACCGAGCTGGGGGACTTGCTGAGACTGTTAGGTTAGGTGCCCCGGAGTGGATCCTGACGCACAGTGGCCCGATGGACAAGAGAAGGAAGCGCCGCCCGG